CCCATGGGATGCTTGATGGCTCCTGCATGAGCCAGAGCCTCAACGGAGCTGGTGCTGGAGAAGAAGAATTTGGAGCGAGGGTGGCTCTGCCGCCGTGGGCACCAAATGGGTTAATGTCGGTGTGTGACGGTGTGAAAGGTGATGGAAGCGGGGACGTGGAGTGAGACCAGGGCTGGGACAAGGGCTGGGTCCCGGCTGGGCGGAGATTGGAGCAGTGGGGAGGATTGGAGCCTCCTCAGTGAAAAACTGAGACCCCACAGCCATGGCTGGGGATCCCCATGCTTGGAGTGACAGGCCGTCATGGAAGGTGCTGGAAGGCACAGGGGGCCCGGTGAGGTCTGTCCCAGGAGCATCCTGCTGAGCATCCCTGTGAGGTCGGGTCGGCCTGGCCTGCCATGCCAGGATGGCTCCTGGGGCAGGTGGAAGGTCCTTGCCTGGGCATCATCCCTTTGCCAGGAGCCCGGGGAGCTCCAGCCTGGGCACCGCAGGCCGAGGGGAGCAGCTGCTCCTCTTCCTCAGGCCCCTGTGCCCCCGTGTCAGGGTGAGCAGGGGGCCCAGGGCCCTCTCGCTCCCGAGGCCGCTCCGCTGGCTGGCGCGGGGCGATTCCTGCTGGAGGAAGCCGGCGATGACGGCAGGAAGCTCTGCCCGGCCGGAGTGCCGGCCCTGCTGGAGCCCAGCACCGCGGGCTCGCCTCAGCGTCACCGGGGCTGGCGGTGGGTGGTGCTGACCGGGCACCAGCTCGGCCGTGCTGATGTCAGGTCCCTGCAGGGATGACTTCACGCACCAAGTGTCCGCCCAGGAGGGAGTGGTGGCTGGTGGGGGGCCACCCCTCTGCCCCCCCCTGCGTCCCTGCAGAGTTCCCATTGCCGAGGATGGGGGAATAAGGAAGCCAGATGTTTACAGGAGGGAGCGACACTGTGCAGGAGGAATCCTGCACATGCCAGGCTCGACCTCCCCTGGTGCCAGATGATGCTGAGGGGGATCCCCTCCCTGCCCTGGGAGTCAGGATTGGGTGGGGATCCCCTTGGCTGTTCAGAATCAGGGCCCCTGAAGGGTCAGAGCCCACTCTGGGGCTGGGGGTCTGTTTTCCCACGTGGCTTTAGCAGTGCCCAAAGCCCAGAGCAGTGCTGGCAGCGTGTGGTGTGTGAGCGATGGGTTTTGGGGGCCAGGAGCGGTGGGATCAGGGAACCCCCAAACCAGGTGACTCTGCAGGACTGGGCAGGGGCTCTGCCACCCCATTTCCCTTATCACTGGTGGCCCAGAGCAGYGATGCCCATCGTGCCAGCATGACCTTGGCCCTTC